TAAACAACATCATTGTCTGCACTACAACTATGATCACTATTATATAAATCACCAAGTCGTATCTTTAAACTACTCGCCCAACTTCAACTACATACGCTCCATAGTCCTGTTTTTAGCTCTATATTTATCTTCAACATTATAATCATTATCATATTTATCGTAATATTTAGCTTAGAAAAACATAATTTAAAAATATTCTAAATATATTAATATGCAATTTATTTTGTTTTCTTTTTGTTTCTTTTGTTTTGTTGTTTTTTTTGTTAGTTGTGTGCTTCCTACTTCGTTTAAATTCAAAAGGTTGCGGTTGAGCTGCTCTCGACGTCAAAGCCACGAGCGCAATTAAGGGCCCACCTGTAGGTCGTGCGTACACATCGACCTTTTCCGACGCGTAACGTGTTGGCTCGTTCGGTATTTGGCTATAACATCTCTTTCTTGCATTCGTTTCCCAGCTTAGCCAGCGATTTAGGTTCGCGCCGCTGCTGTGGAAGCAGCTCGATGCAGGGGTTACTGTAAGCACATATGAATTTAGTCAGTAATGCCGTTATGTCAGTGTTGTATATTTTTTGGGGTTATGATGGATAATGAGCAAACATTGGTGGCAAACGTGAATACCATTTAGAGTACATACGAGGATAATGTTTTAGTTGTGTTGTATTTGGTTGTTCAATTTTCGTTACGGTGCTTTAGTGTAAGTTTTTAGGGGGTACAAGTGAACTTGCAGGCCAAATGAGCTTCAATCATTTAAAATATATTGATTATATGCGAATTGTTTGACTCAATAAAAAATATAATAAATATATCATAAAGAAAATAGACGAAAAATGGTGTGTGTGTGTATGTATTCGATTTAAAACGGGTTTATTATGTAGAATCAAAGGCAATACCATTTATGTAAGTGTCAGCAATACAGCGATTCAAAGCAAAATGGCGTTAACAAGCCCAGCTTATAGACTGTCTAAAAGCGCAGCGCATTTATTCATTTTCACTTTTAATGTGTACTTCACACTTACTTCGCCAAGTAGTGGTTGCTTTTATTTTGGCTCTGCTGTAGCCACTTTAGTTCACCTGCATCTCTTCGCCTTCCTCTTCGAGTATGACCGATTCACCGGGCCAAACAATGGGACGTCCCTAGGTTTTGAATTGCGAAACTTTTTAATAAGCTTTTTGTGCTTTTGTGGGCACATTCTTATTTCATTTGAAAACTAGCTATAAGTATGATTTCCATATTGCAGTTAATGAGCGCTATTTTTTTTTTTATTTTGATCGTTATGTTAATAAATTTATTTGCTTAAGCATATCCTGTCTAACGCTTCTATAAATTCTGTCTATGTGCAATAAAGCCGAATAATTTTATTCTAATTTATTATATAGATTATTTACATATATACATACATTCTTTCAAGCTACGAACGAAACAAATGCTTTATTCGGAAAGCTCTAAAAAAGCTGTGTTTAGTACGGACAAAAAGACAACAGTCAACATACTATTGTATTAATGTGGACTGTTCATTTTCGAGGCAACGGAAGTCGCATTAGAAGTCTTATACATTCGTATACAATAGTTTACATAATACACATATGTGTTTTTTTGATTATCACAATCGAGTTAAAGCCGTAGCAACGTGTGTCTATTGTTGCGCTACGTTTCACCTTGATTGATTGTACAACAAAATGATTCAGATAAAAGCTCCAAAGCTTTGTATGTGCTTTATGTTGCATGGTCCATGTGTACCTGCTTTCAGGTGCTTTCAAAACCGGTTAGAAAAATATGCATGAAATCTTAATTTTTTTGATAGTACTTTGAAAGAATGTATCGTTGCCAATGGTACTACCGCGACAGGTAAAAGCTTTTTGCGAGCTCTTTTCCAAATACTGGTTTTAGAGTCTATATAAGTACGTGCCATGTAGCTTTCGGTAAATAGAGGCATATATTCATTGGATATTACAAGGTTTATTTCCAATTTACAATGCACAAGGGATTCTTTCTTATATCCAAGGCAGCTTCGTACATTAGTTAGCGCTAAATCACTAATACATATCTATCGGGTGATTTTTTAAGAGCTTGATAACTTTTTTAAAAAAAAAAACGCATAAAATTTGCAAAATCTCATCGGTTCTTTATTTGAAACGTTAGATTGGTTCATGACATTTACTTTTTGAAGATAATTTCATTTAAATGTTGACCGCGGC